AGGTGGTATGTAATACAGCTGTGTATGTAATACAGTACTATGACTGGAGATCCAAAAGGCTTCTGTTCTGCACAGTAACTGCAAATACTGTTTACTTCTGGTATCAGTGAAAGTAGTATTAGGACAGGGATCCATCCTCCAGTTTAACCATTTGAAATCTGTGATCTTTTCTATCAGTAAGACCGGTATCAGGACTATGCTGTTTAGAAAATAACACAAATACTGGGTTGCCCTGGAGAACTTAAAGGAAAGCTTACAAATTACTTACACTACAATTATTCAGAACTCAAACTAAAACGTGAGGATAGCAATGTTCAAGTGCTCTGACTTCATATTTCATTGTATGTTGCTTTGTTACAATTAATTTTGATATACCAAGAACTAAGAGTTGATTGCAATAAAACCATGTGGTCAGGTATTTCAAGTACATTTCAGTAAAACCTCTTTTAGGTTCCATTATGCAGTTTCAGCCAAATTCACAATTCATGTAAGCAGATATAAATCCAACAGCTTTATCAGGATTAAGATCTTACAGTTCCGGTAGCAGAATCAATAATGTGACTGTATAAACTAAATGAAGTCTAGCATCTCTTTACAAAAGCTAGTTTGGCTGTATAATTCTCTGATCTGCAGGAACTGTTTCCTTTTACATCTCAAAGCATTGGTCAATAGCCAGAATTAGTCTAATATCCTGTGTTACAATATTTTGTTGTATGCTTATGTTAAGGGTAGAGCTATATAGTACTTCCAAAGTTTTTATTTATCGTCTTTCTACTTGCTTGCACTAAAACTGAGTCATGATTCAGTAAGTGATTCACAGGGTAAACCATATTTTATAATGAACTGCAAGATAAAATCACGTTTGGACATATCCAAAGAGATTTGACAGTCTTTTAAGCTTCTTTTAATGCTAATAACATCTGATCTGTATGGTAATGTGCAAAAAGAGATAACTTTCTATTGAATACTACTATAATATCTTAGGGTATTGTATTAAGAAAACTCAAAAGCTCTAATCCATTTTGACAGGCTTTTTTTTTTCAGTAATGCCATTCTGAGGTAACGTTTTAAGGATGCATGATATTTCTGCACATGTGTACCCAGATGGAAAAATTAAATTACGAAGAGGTATAAGAACTACTTATTAACATTGTTATGTATGTAGCTCAACTATCTGTGTGAGTCAAACGCCACATCTAGATTTAGGAAATGCTCATAATTATTGATGCCCTGTGTTTTGCACTTCCATGCTGAGTGGCTTAGATGTCCAAGATACCCATTTGCAATATAATTACAATTAAAAAAAAAAGAAAAAAGCCTGCTGCAGTTGGAAGAGTTGGAACTATTCCAATGTATTGCATTAATCTAGTTCAATTTATAGGAGCATATTTCACTCTTCTAGGGAGGTTAATTCACCAACCTCCATTTCCTGCCATAATCATCTACCACAAAGACATAAATATGTCATATTAATGCCATGTACTGCTACTATGAAATCTGTGGTCTAGTTTTTAGAAAAAATAGCATATCCATACATATACTTTTTAACTGTCTCTTTGCATCTTGGCTGTAATGTAAATATAAAGCAAGTGAGAGCATGTAAAGAACAGAATTTGAATAATCTGTGAGTTGCATACCACAACTGCCACAGGAGTACGTGGTTAAAATCAACAGTACTGCGTATATCCAGTTTGCAACAGACTGCAGTTCTAAAATTTGCTATCAGGTCTAGCAGGGTTGTTTTTTTCTTTTTTGAACTTCAGCACTGGAATACAAGTCTGAGGCATAAAGTAACTGTTGGCCAATTAAAGTAATCATCTAGCCTTTCCTCCCCCTAGGTATTTCCCTGCCCCCAGCAGAGGTTTTGGAATGGGATGATCTTCAAAGATCCCTTCCAAACCCCAGACATTCTGTGATTCTATTTGATAAGGCAAAAGATACTGCATGCTTAGCCAGTACGAAGAGGAATGCCTGAAGTGCAGCTGGGAACTTGAAAACTAGGTCACCTTTGGGGGAAGTTTCTTTTTTTCAGATCTTGAACTGAAGATTTATTTTTAGGGTCTTTTTCTCCAAAGCTCTGCTCCACCATGTAGTAATGAACTTGTGCCCAACTGAGTCCTCAAGGAAGTGAAAAGTCTGCATATGCTGGGGGTGTGAGAAATATAAATACTCTTAAAAAAATAAAAAATAATAAAAAAAATCCGAAGGTGTTGGGATATGAAACAGCCACATATCACACATGCTGTGAGTCTACAGCATATATAAGCGTGTGTCATGTTTCTGAAACACTTGCAGTCTTACTTGAAAAACACATCCATGCTATCACTAGTTGTGGATCCACTAAAAAAGTTTGTTATGCAATGCTGAAGCAGAGATGTGTCACCTGGAAAGTACTGACATTTAAGGTATTGCCAAATATACATATATATATATATATATATATATATATATATATATATATATATATTTAGTGTATGCTGTATGAGAGATGCTGTGATAGTAATGCCTTCCATTATATTAAGTTGGCCCTTGATATCAGAGGCAGATGTTGGTGGTATGGAATAGAGATTGAACCTTCCCACCAATGCTCCATTGAAGTTTGTTGCCACGTGACAGATGGCAGCAGAGGGGCAGTCTGACAGGTTGGAGTCTGACACGGCATGGAAGTATGTATGAAGCAGAAGAGTGGAACTGAATTCCTCTATGTGGAAAAATGGCACCCATTGATATTCGTTGATGGTTGCTGAATGTTTATGGAGATGAAACACTGGATGTTAGCATAGTAAAGCAGTGGCTGGCACATTTCAGCTCTGGTGACAGTGAAATGAAAGACCAGCCATGTTCTAGACAGCCATGCACACCTGTTGTATTATGAAATGAAGACTGCTCCAATGAGCTCATCCACATGAATTTGTGGGTTTATAACCAAGAGTTTGTACAGAACTGAATATCAGCTTAACTGTATTGCAAACGATGGAGGCAACACAGGAGTTGGATGACTTTTGTACCAGATGGTTTCCACAAATGCTTATACTGAAACAAAAGGACGCTGCATGCTAGTTGGTCAGGAATTGAACCAATAGAAGGCTGGAGGTGACTATTTCCCAGATCACATCATTACCAGTGATGAGACAGGGAGTCATCGCTACAAGCTGAAGTCAAAATGGTAGTCCATGGAGTGGTGATGTGAATTCCCCATTGAAGAAAAAGTTGGTTACACAGCCCTTGCCAGTTAAGTGATGTGTGCTCTTTCAGAGCAGGAAAGGCACAATCTTTGTGAATTTCCTGGGGCCCAGGCAAGCCGTCAGCTCTGACTGCTATGTCACAACACTGACTAAGCTGAGGGCTCAGACTTAACACTCAGGCCAGAGAAGAAGACAACCTTTCTCTTGCAACGCACAAATGCCAAGTCCCATACCAGTTTGAAGACTGTGGAAGAAACTGCCAATCTAAGCTGGACTGTCCTACAATACTCCCTGTATAGTTTGGGTTTGGCACCTTCTGGCTTTCACTTGCTCAGTTCAGTGGAGATAGACTGTGTGAGCAACGTTTTTCTAGCAACAATGCAATTGTAGCAGCTGTGAAACAGTGGATCACCTCTGCTGGAGCAAGTCTTTATGCGCATGGCATGCAGGCTCTTGTTCATTACTGGCAAAAGTGCATACTTAATAGAGATGACTGTTGAAAAACAGCATTATATAGCTAAGAATTTGCTCTCTCAAATAGTGTTATTGTATTCTTTGTATCTGTTGTAGTTTCCATGGTAATAAATAGGAGGCATTACTTTAGGATCTACCTCTATATATAGGATATCAGATATGCTTTTGGCTTTTTCATCATTCCTCGTCTGCTTTCAAATAGCAAAACCAACTTCCCTGTTGATTTCCTCTGCAACATGCAACATTTTCAGATAATACTAAATTAGAGCCTGAGCCAGAGAAGCAACTTCTACAGCAGGTGACCATTCCCTAAACTTTATAGCACTGAGTTATGGCCCCTATCTCTTGAGTCATTTCTCAATTTTTGTGAAGTTGAATATCCTGCCTGCAAATCTCTGTATGGAATAGCACATTAAAGCAGTTAAAAATAATCACTTGCTTCAGAAAAAGACTCTGTGTTTACAAAAGTTGTGTACACATGGCTGTACACATCATTCCCTCACAGTGTCTTTCAAAAGTTCTGTCACTATTCAAACTGTGCTATGCAGAAATTAGTTACACAGGAGGAAAAAAAAACACAAAACAAGCACATTAACCTCAGGTGTGCTACAGAGATCTGTAGTTTTGGCTTTGGATGTGAAAAATTAGAAGTTTCCTCCTGGATATCACGGTGCAAGATGATAAGAGACATTGGAAAAGCCTGAGGTACATTTTACTGCTGAAGTTTTTAGATATAAAATACTTGAGTAAGTCTTGAGTACAAGTCATCTTTTTTCTACTAAAAGTAGGCAATGAATCTGGAGTTGCTGCAGCTTGAGTTTGAATTCAGACTTTTGTCTGAGAATAATGACCTCTGAAAAGGAAAAAAATAAATAATAGTAAAAAAGTTTATTACATTAATAATATAATGAAATGCATTCTCTGTTTTTATGTGCTACCTCAAAATACACTGGCCCAAAACTGTAATGAAACATAATGTAAAACAGTACCAACACAAAGCTGTTTTTATAAGAAATAATATTGGTCAGAATGCTTGGAGAAATAAGTCTCCTTTATCATCACAGTCTCCTTTATATCATCACAGAAGCTGATAGCTGCTTTGGCTGAGGAATCATGAACAGATAACTCCAAGCCATTTTCACAGTGCTTTTAATATAAGGGTTTGAATGATTGCACAGTTATAACGAGCAAAATCTTTCTTAATTCACCTATGTTAATCTATGTATTTGTCCTTTTGTTTTGAATTGCTGTTAGTTCGGATGAGAAGCTGTAAGACCAGAGAGAAGTTAAGATGAAAGCTGCCGCGTGTTGTTTCACAACATTTCACTTTCTGAATTGCAGTACCCTTCCTATTAAAGATCCTCACGTAGACAGTGCATCTCCGGTGTATCAGGCTGTTCTCAAAACTCAGAACAAGCCTGAAGATGAAACTGAAGACTGGAGCCGCCGTTCTGCCAACCTGCAGTCTAAGTCTTTTCGCATCCTTGCTCAGATGACTGGAACAGAGTTCAGTAAGTCAAATAACAAAGCATCTTCCTCATCCTGGCTTTAGATTTGTCTCTTTATTTTCTTATCCTAACGCTGGTGACTAATACTTGGTTCACATTCTTCTTGCAGTTGTTGTCACAAAGGGCTAAGATCAGACAGAGAAGCCTTGAATGTAAAATAAGGGAATTAGGAAATCCAAGTTTTGTGTCTCACCTTATACTTTATGAAGAAAATCTGTGATCTGCCAAGGGTCTCACCAAAATAAGTATAAGACTGTACAGTAGAAGTTTATCTGGGACCGTATAATCCTTTCTTACAAATGTAATCTATGCACAGTGACCCTTCCAGCAGTTATTCATAGAAGTCTTCAATTCATTAGGGAAAGGATAAAGCACTTAAGTATCTTGTAACAGACTTCTATAGAAGTGAATTCCTGAAGTAAAAAACAAAAACAAAAAACCAGGGATCATTGTTTGTACTGTACCTATGTTCCTCTATCAGCCTTTAGTCTAAACCTAAATCTTTTGTGAACATTATACGAGTTTGAACTTCTTTGGTTATTGCCTACAGAAATACTTTTCTGACCATCTGGTGCTAAATTCAGATCTTGTTTCTGTTCTAGGTTAAGAACCTTTCCAACATCACAGAAATATTTAGTTTTTGCTCCTTGTATTAATCTACTGCTAACTCTGACGTGATTCCACAGAACAGCACAGAACACCAAGCCCTCTCTGTAGGGTCATTGCCTACAGCTATGAAATGCTGCTAGTAAAGGTTGTTGTAGTAATAGCCACTTTCCTAAGATCTTTCTGCCTAGCTCTAGGGAAACTGCTCCTCTTCTCACTGTAACAAAAGCCACTGCTGTAAAGTCAGCATCACTGTACCTTTAAACAGGCTTTTGACGCTTTTCTGAAGAACTTGTAATTTTATCACGAAGCTGATTATTTCTTTCTTCATTTCTGTTCTAATGGAAATGGTTTTTTCCTGCAGTGCAAGATCCAGATGAAGAAGCCCTGAGGAGATCAAGGTAAGAGACTCCTTGTGAAAAACATGGCTTCTGTCCCTAGTGATAACCAAATAATGTTTTAAAACAGCATTAATACTAGCATACAGAACTATTTTCTTTCCTTACACATTGTCTCTAACACAGTTACTTAAAAATAACTAAAATTAAAATGCTATCCGTGAGAGTAATTTGAATGAAAAGGGTTAACAAACTGGCATGCATTTAAGGCAGTACAAAAAAGTGTGTTCAAATCTGAAAGCTCCCTGCCCATGCAACTTTTATGTACTTTACTCTGTGTGTGAATGCAGCGAACTTCTAAGACCAAATCCTGTGTAACTGCTTGATTGTGTAACTGTATGAAAATATGTAATGTTGTGATAGCATTAAAATTTATGTGCAATTTATTTGGATGATCCTGACTGACATCTGATTCATCTGAAACGATACACTAAAGGAGCTTCTTTCTATTCGTATCCATAATCATTTGCTCACGTTTTGTTGGAAGTGCAAACAAAACTTGTATAATAAGGAAGCACAGGACTGCTTTTGCTGAGGTGAAATATATTTGTCTCCTTCTATGACCTAACAATAATGCTGATAAAATGAGTATGCTCAGAAATAAAACAAGGAATTAAAGGCCTGTGATCATCTTAGGTTTTCCTATACTGCCAGGGATCCACTTTTTGTTACATTATTGTGTACAGCTTAATAACTGAAGTTGAATTGGAGCATCCTGCACGTAAGCCTGATTTTCTATTTCCATACTTCAAACTCCTATTTCACATTAGCTACTCTACACCACTAGTTGGGTTTGTGATTTCTTTGATATTCAATCCACTTGCTCTATTTTGTCATCATCATCTTTTTACCAGCATGTTTCTTCTATGAATACTTTGAGCTTTCGATCACAGTCCAAGCTACAAAGTTGAGCTAGTGAGAAAGATGGCTGTCATTTTCCCTATGAAAATACAGTATGCAGAATTCCAGTTTTATGTCTGCCACAAGCCTTTTATTGCAGTTCACCGAAGTTCATGGGTGGGTGCCTGAACATCGGGCTTGGCATTACATTCCTGCTGGATTCATTTCTCCTATCAAATGTGCAAGCCTAACTCTTAGAAAACGTACCCTACGTTACATGTTTTGATGTAATAGCACACATGTGAATCCTTACTACGGGGGGATTTGAAATACTGTAGCGAACATAACAGTTCTCCTATACACACATCTGATAGTAATACATTTTATTAAAGAAGTGATCTTTCTGGATGTAGTTTCTGGCTTTGTAAAACACTAGATAGTGGAAGTTTAATGTGATATTAGGTAGATTGCAAAAGTTAGTACATCAACATGCATAGTGTAAATTACATTTTTTAGTGTAACTTAAAAGTACATGACTGTATTTACTACGCATTGCACATTTTCTGCAGTTTTAATGTATTAATGCTACTGTTATTTTTTTTTTTTTACCACAAGGACAGTAATGATTCTGAGTATATTTAAGCATATCTGGATTACCAAAAGAAGTTTAAGGACATTCTTTGTTAGTAGAGGCAGAAGGGAATATTGTAGTGGATAGTTAGTAGTACAGTGTGTGTAGTAATACATCACAAGCTCTGGTGCAAGAAGTGAAAAAGGGCCTCTTTCACAGCAAACTGATAGTACTTGCCTCATCTTGGTGCCCTGGTGCCTATTTCATACATTGTATGTACCCTACCCACAGATTTTGTAGCACAGGCACTGGTTGTGCATGCGTCCATCATATGTTTTCTTGGGTTGATTGGACCTCTCTCTGTTTCATCTTTTGATTTTGGAAAGGGTGGAAGAAGCTATGTCAGATGCACAGAATTAATACTTGAACTTCACTCTACCATCATAATAATGGTAGACACTGTACAGCCTGTACAACCAGGTTTTGCTCCATGCCCACGGTTAGGAGATCAGCTGGAAGGCTTCCTGGGCTCTCAAACGCAAAAGGCTGTCACAGAATTGTGGGGTGCGAAGCTTGTCAGGTTAAATGTTGCACTGATCTTGTTTTGGCTTTATGGAAAAAAAAAAATTAAATGTTTCAAAATGTAAACTGCCAGAATGAATGACTTTGGTCCTAGAGCATGTTGTGAGCAGTCACCCTCTGGTGCTTCCCGTTGTCTCTGTGTCAGTTCTTCAGTGTAGTCAGCAAGAGCTGCATGAGACAGCAGTAAGATTTCCTCCAAACACTTGGAAAAAGGAACACGTGGCTCACTTTTGGCAGGCTCATTTTACATAAAAATAGTCACTTTTGGATTGCTGCTTCTAACTTCTTAACATTTGCTTTGAGTGGTATCGGTAAGACTTAGAATCTTCAGGAGGCAGTATTTATTTTCTGTTAACATCATTGAATGCAGAGCATGACTTCCTTTTGCTCATGTTACTGCTACTTTGAAGGCGCACATACGATCATAACTTGCTGTGGAAACATTAATTTGCTGTTGTGATGATTGTTACAGAACAGTTTCCAGACAGATGATATCTGTTTCAAGATTGGCAGGTGTTTCTTAATGCCATTTCCTTGAATGGAGGGATATATTTTTAAAGCAGTGAGGGAATTAATGAAATTCAAGACCCACTGTAGCTAATGCACTTCAGTGTAACTGGAATAAATGCCACCATACACTTTTAGTGGTTCAGCAATAAATACTTTTATATTTTTAAGTAATTAAAAGATAGTTTAGGAAGTCATACATAAAGACTCCCTTAGGTTTAGAAAGAAAATTGAGAAATATCAGTGAATTTGTTGATATTTACACTGTTCAATGTCTTGTGCTATATTCAGCCTGAGGAGTAAAACCAGTTTGGTCTGTTCCTTTCTTTTTCACTGATTTCACTCTCAAGTTCTGCTACAATTAACGGAGTTAACTTTGAGTTTAAATAATAGGCAGAACAGGTAAAATAATCTGTTTGCAATTGATCAAATAAATTTGTAAATAACATACTTCTCCTTGACTACACTCTCATCCCACATCCTCCTCCATCCACTTTTTGTTTGCAAAATCTTAATTTAAGCTATAGAACATCTAGAAAAAATTAAGGTCTGAGAGGTGCTGAACATCGCTTACCACTTGCTCAAGAGCACCAGTCTGCAGTCAAAACTGGCAGGGGGAGGTCAGTTATTCACAGGACTGCACTTTTGAAAATCCCAGGTTATTTTGCTCTTCAACACAAACGATCAGAAATACCTGTACTTGCTTCTGTTGAGAAACCTATAGAAACTACTGCTGAATGCTGCATCTGATGGCCTTATAGGACAGCATGAGAAATAGATATAAATATGCTGGCCTATGTATTAGTTACGGAATGGAAAATATTTGCAATAATTTTGCTCCTGTACTGAATCAACTTTAAATGACTGCTTGGGTTGGGGAGGGGAGAGCCAGGCGAATCTGCTGGCAGGAAAACAATGGGATTGCACTGCATTTCTAGCAAAAGCAGACCTGTAATACCAAATTTAAGTCATAGAATATAAAGTTACTTCAAATTACTCCTCAGAAATGAACAAATGCAAAAATATTCATTCATGGTCTAAAAAGGATCGTCCAGCTTTCTTTGCACTGATTCAAAAGCCGGGGAAACAAATCCAAATAAATTGCCATTGCCCTAATTATAATAAGGCAGGGGAGTGGTAGCCATGTTCCCTAATCCCTTTCTTTCTCCCTCCTTTCTTTCTTCTCTTTGTCTCTCTCTGTATCTCTCTCTGTCTCTCTCTCTCTCTCTTTCTCTCTCTCTCTCGCTCTGTCTCTGTCTTTCTCTCTCTCTTTCTTCATGCCACAGGGAAAGGTTTGAAACGGAACGTAACAGCCCACGCTTTGCCAAATTGCGCAACTGGCATCACGGCCTGTCGGCGCAAATCCTTAATGTTAAAAGTTAAAAGCCCACATTCAGTGGGCAAAGATGTGAGAGAGAATTACAGGAAAGAAATAACTGCTATCCTGAGTTAAAGCCTAAGAGTGTAACACACGTACAGGAAAGATGATTGCTAGGTTGTTTTTATTTTTTCTGAGTGCCCGTCTTTGGTAGTTTTCTGTTGTTAGCCTGGAATTCACTCTGTCACCAAAAGCAAAAATAATCATACTGCCTTGTTCACGTTCTTTGGTATAAATTAGATTAGCTTTTGTCCTTTACGATATCAAATGCAACTTCAATATACAGATAGAAGGAAAAGATCATTGTGTTACTTTTTTGACTTTACTTACAGGAGAAAATGAAAGTTATTCACAGTGTTTCTTTAGGAGGAAGACTTAGGTTTTATTGACTTTTATTGCTGTAAAGATAATTAAATATGAGAACATAGGATGAAAAGGAAAGCTGACTGAGCCTGGCCAAGAGTTTGCTAAATGTACAACCTGCTTAGTTCACATAGTCAAACGATGCTGTTTGAAATAAGACTTAAGCGTTATCATTTTTTCTTCAGTATATAATGCTAGTAAAACTTATTTGATAAGACTACTTGCTATAATATTTGAAATCTAAATTTGTCATTAGATGAAAGATAGAATGTGGTTGTTCAGGACCTGCAAGGAATTGACTTTTTGCTAGAGGTGTTTAGGAGTAAGACGACATATATAGTACTGTTGGTGCACTGAAGTTTATAAAAGCAACTCCGAAGTTCAAAGGGACATGTTGCCCATTCTGTATTGCTCTTGCTTTGACCCACATTTTTTTTTCTGTATATAGCATCATGCTTTATCTCAAATAAATGGATTTAAAACTAAAATAATGATGTGCCTGTTTTACACAGTACTTCATTCCTTTTTAAGACAATAACTGCTTCAACTGATTGTTGAAAAAAGGTGCACTCTTCTTTCCACAGTAGAAAATTTGGTCAAAAAGCTTTTCCCTATTAGCTGTAGTTCTTACTGACCCTTAAACTATCTGAATTAGAATCAACCTGATAAAATAATTGAAATAATCTTTCTTTCTTGTGAAAGAGAACATGGCATAATTAATAAATGCTAGATGAGAAGACACTGATAATACCTTTACAGATT